AAAGACACGGATAAACTAATCAAAGCGACGAGATTCCGTTTGATCATTGGTGAGTTAAACAGAAGTTTATCATGTTTTGGTGGTGTTTTAGATTTGAGACAGGTTGTTGTTTATAATGGTCATTTTAAACAATGCTCTTAATGTGCGCATGCTACTGAATCAAATTTCCTTTAGCAAAATAGGAGTCTCGGAACATTCATATCAATGAGGCTCCACAGAAGCTTACCAAGAAAAAAATTGCTTTTAGGTAAAGCACACTTAAAACCACTCTGGAACCATTTGCCGCATCATATTGACCTCTTAACTAGCGGGACTCTAGAGGACTTTCGGCTATGCTTGGTTTCATCTATATGTTAGGGGGAATTTTGCATACAATTTCGACCGAGTTCCACTTTTAGATAGGTCCATTAAATATAATTATTTTCCATTTCCCTGCATTTATAGAAGATGGCAATAGTCGGCCAGTGGAACCTGTGGAGCCTGTGCAGATGGCAGCCTCAACAACCCCTTCATTACAAATACCTGTTGTTACGGCATCCGGAGATAGGCTTCCACAAGAGACTGATATGGAGGGAAGCGCAAATGGTCTTGAAGCTGGAAGGAGCAAGAAAATTATAGAGAAATTGCAGGAAAACTCAAATGAAGGCACTGTGCTTGAGTCGTCTGGTAAATTAACGGGAATAATGACAGTTATCGATGAAATATTTGTCTAACTATATATCATAATTATTAAAAATATTTCCTCTCTGAATCACTTTTATAAAATAATATTTCCGCTTTCAAAATTAAAGTGTAAAGGCCATATTTTTACGGGAATATTTATCAGGCACCAAAAATTTATTCTACTCGATTTAAGTGTTTTTTGCCCATTAGCATTTTGCTCCGACTAAGACTTATCAGTCGTCTCCGAGTTTGCAATTTCTAATTGCTACTGGGAGAGGTAACGAAGCAATTGCAAATTAATAGAGTCCACTATGGAAACGGGCCTGGACATTCTTCTATCTTTTCAAAGGCATGACAAATAAAAGACTCAGTTCCTCTTCAGGAATACAATTTTGTTTCAGGATAAGGCTAGTACTGTCGTGAAATTTATGTACTCTGCTTAAAAGTGCAGCTAGAGTCCTGGTCACTTCATTAAGAATATTTTATTCTAATTACTGTTTATCCTTAATCCGATTTATTTTTGATAATGCCAGAAGGCAATGAAAGCTTTTTTTTGCTTCGCACTGAGCACTGCTATGCATATCAA